CCTGTCACATCAATGAGGCCCCCCCCCCCCAGGGTTCGATCCTTAGACCTAAGCTGTTTCTTATCTTCATCAACAACTTCTCCGATGTCAACAGTTCTCAACTAGGTTATGCAGATGATACATCTATTTACTCCTGTCTTAAGTCTGGTATGTTGTTCATGATGACGGTCGTCTTCGAGTATAGAATCCAGAGGTTAGCAGTGAATATTTCGAAGACAGTAGGAAAGCGTTGTTCAGGTTAGCAGTGGATATTTCGATAAAAGTAGCAGAGCATAGTTCGTCCTTCTGGTTCTCTTCGCCTGACAAGCTGGTCTGGACATTCGGGTAGAGTAGACAAAATGGCCGCCTTTATACACGACGGATTGAATATTCTACGTCTTCTGATTGGTTAACCTTCTATTGGTGGACTATAAAGTGAGTCAAGTCATTTGGATTGGCTCACTAGTTACATATTATACACAAAAAACTGCAACATGGTAGTGCCGACAAAGTAAAACTCCTCTCAAAAATGACAGCCAGTCAGAGGTTAACTGGGGCAAGGAATGACTTGTAAATTTTAACGACTCGGAAACAAAACAGCTTTTATTTAATCGCCATAACGAACCTTTTCTATCTTCACTACTAACCTCTAGAAGAGCATCTCTCTGCACCTTCTTGGACTCACATTTACCATTGACATGACGTGGACTGATCATATTGAATTAATTACTAGGTTTAGAGTTAGGAACGTTAGCTCTCTGTGGCATGCAAGACATTTTTCCACGTCAGAATCACATTAAAAAATCTACCATTCATCCGAGCATTGAATATTGCTGCCATATCTGATCTGGGGCTTCTTCTCGACGAAATCCAAAGAATGAAATGAAATGATAAAAAATATGCCATATGTTATGTGAAGGTTGATTATAAAATTATTTAGTGCATTCAGTTATATGAGGGAAAGTGAAAAATTCACTGAAATATGTTGGAAAATTTCCAAGTTTTCATAGGAAATCAAAATAATAAACTTTAAGCTAAATTTTCACAACAAATGGAAAAAAGACTGTCGACGGTTTTACCCATGTTTGTCTGTTATCACTTAAAATGATGTCATGTTTTTTCCATATAAATTATAATTTCGGTAAGTGAAAATTTCACTGAAATATGTCGGAAAATTTCCAAGTTTTTATCTAAAATGAAGTAACTACTAAATTTAAGAACAATATAATTTTAAGCAACACTTTTTTTTTAATGTTATTTAACCAAAAATATCAAAATAAAAAGGTGATGCTTAAATTAGATTGTTCTTCGTTGAGATGAAATTAGTAGAAATTGTAAGTGCCATAATTTTATGAATAATTATAATACAAATGGAGCATTTTTCTTTTTCTCGCAGTCAATAAAACATAATCTTGTTTCTTTTGAAGTTATTTCGCAGATTAATAGAGTAAATATGCAAATACCGATGTACTACTACGTTTCTTATTTTTTCTTTCAAAGATACTTACACATATTCCCAAATGTAAGCTCGACTCACTCGTGTAATGTTTAGCTAGCTAATCTCGCAGACGATTAATTCTGTGTAATAAGTCAAGCAGAATGTCACAATGTGGGTGGGACTTGAATCAGATGTTAAGAGTAGGGCGTGACTAAATCAGATATTAAGATACCTGATTCTATATTTTTAACCTGATCCTCTCATAAAATAAACATATTTTCTTTTTTGTTGTTGTTGTTTTTAGATATATTAGCCTACTGTAAACATTTTAAAAAATTAAAAAAAAAACATTTCTTTTTTGCTTTTCGCTTTTACTCTTTACAATGAGAGTTATAGATATTTTTGCAAATAAAAACATATGAAAATGTTTTTAATGTATTTTCTTGGAATTGCGGGTTGGAAATTGTAAAAGCATTTAAGTAGAAACCTGCGGTTATCTGTAACACATTTGAGAAGAATTTCGACCCAATAAATATCAGCTTGATTCGACTAGAAATTTAATTCACTATTAAGAAATGCATTGAAATCACATTGATTACAGAATTCTCTAAGGTCAAACTCAGATCTGGCTCATATACAGTAGCTTGCAAAAATCTACATCCCCTTTGAAAAGTTATATATTTTGTATAATTTAACAAGGAACAACACATTTTTTCAATTACAATGATTGTTAAATAAGAAGCAGATCCATCACACTTTCCTTTGATATAAAAATTACATTTTAAAAATTTCACACTGATTCTTAAAATCATATAACTTGGAAAAATGTCTTCGCAAAAGTCTACCCCCCTCCCAGATATTATACTGTGTTATCACATAGTTTGTCACTGATGTATACAATCCAGAACAATCAAAAGTGGCATGTCTGTCCTACCATAACAAACAAACTTCTCCAGTCTATTATTTTGCTATATAAGGTGATTTAACTGCCTACAAAATCATCCACCACATGTATTTATATTGACACCAAAAAAAAATGACTTAATATCCTGATTTTCAAGGCAGATATATTTATTACTTGGGTAAAAGACTTATATTTAAATCTATATAATACTAAAAGGCTGTAATTGCGTGCTTGCATGGTGCGCCGTCCGTCCGGCGGATAATGATTTAAGAGAATATGATTTACAAATACGAATTGTTTATATAGTATTTTTATTTTAACTTTCTTCAAACAATTTTTTAATTAGAATATTTTAATTTAAAGACAGACACAAAGAAATCCTGCTTTGCTGTTTCGTTCAGTGTTTTTAGAGTAATTATTTATATTTAATCATTTTTTAAACTAAAAAATATTTTAAATATTTAAAAAATATTTTTAAAATTAATCTGATTTAAAAAATATTTTATGTGAATGAGATTTAAAAAACGAGTTATTTATACAGTAAGTATATTTAACTTTCTTCAAACAGACATTTTTTTTTAATTTAATTTAAGTGGATTTATCTGTAGCCTTGGAAACGTGAATTATGATTTTAGCGTTGTCTTTAAAACCCAGTAATTTTAAAAGTTACTCCAAAATTCGCTTGAGGATGAAATGGAACTAAGTCTCTAAATTGATTACAAAATTAAATTCGAGGCTTTTAGCTTTCATTTTTGAAACATGGTTAGAACTGTGTAGCGAAAAAAACCATATTTTAAATCAATTAATTTATAATATATATATATATATATATATATATATATATATATATATATATATACTGGTTGTAACAGTAAAATTGTCCAAATAATATAACAGCATAATTATCCATTCTACAAAATGTTTAATATGAAAAAAAAAAACACTAAACTAATTGAGTTTCTTTTTTCCAGGATTTTAGATAAGACGTTTAACCAAATTGACACCATTTGTTGTAAGAATCACTGAAAAACCCTTTCAGTTATTCAGCTAGAAAGAGAACGGGTTAGAATCATTTTGTGTCAGCCCCATTGTATCTTCCCAACTGAGCAATGGTGAGAGGTAAAAAAAATCATTCAGGTCTTCAGTAATGGTATCCACATTCATACTCTGTCTTCCATTTTTAAAGTCCATTCAAGAACCATCAAGAGAATGGTGAATAATTTTAAAACAGAGGGAACAGTAGAGAGGAAAACTGGATCAGGAGGTCACAACAAGAAGAGGGATCATCATTTCAACTTAGAGCTAAAGAGATCAATTAGAAAAGATCCAACTCAATCCATAAGACGTTTGACACATGAGAGAGAAGTTTCAGATATGACAGTCTAAAGAGCAGTGAAAAAAAAGACTTAAAAATGAAATCGTACGTGAAACCTGTGAGGCACTCTGTTACTCCAAGACAGAAAGTTAGAGAGGGAGAAGATCATCTTTAGTAAGTTGGAAAATGATCCTGGAATAATATATATATATATATATATATATATATATATAATTGATATATATATCTTTCATGAGCTTGATCCTTAGCTATGATTAATTAATGATGAACATGTCATTTACGATTCTTCTGTTAAGCTTAGAGAGTAATTGTACATTCTTATTGCTCAAAGTAGAGTCCAATAGGAGTATTAAAACTTCAGAGGATTCCAGTAAGATATCTTTAATCATTTCTAAGATACAATGGTTCAAATCTTAATCTAACAATTGGACAATTTGGCTTTTACACACGGTATTTCTCTGTTTCAACAATATTTTTATTTTTTCTATCAATCGCCTTCACTTTTTCAGGGAATTATTGCTTTTTCTTTGTCTTTCTTGACAGCTAAACCGTCAACGAAAATTAGTTCCACTGTTACAATAGCAACAGTCAGAAAACAAAAGACGGAAAATATTCCAGTAGCAAGTACCCCTGAATTAATGAACAAGACCTCTTCAAGGGCCTACACAAGTACGTTAAGGACAGATAAAGAAATGCTAAAGTATACACCTCAAGCCAAAAATGAAGCTACTCCTTCAAAATCTGTAGTCGGAGATAATTTTTCTGGAAATATTGCAGGTAGGAAAACTTTTTCGCGAAATTTTATTTGATTATAATCGAAAAATAACCTTTCCAAGAGGAAATGCTATTTTCTTTAAAGATATTCCCATAGACATCAACTAAAATTAAAAATAAAACCAGTCAATGGGTAAAGAGACCTTCATGTAGGCTCAACTCACACCTAGTACACTTGAACAGATTGGGGTCCATAGCTATGGACCGTAGGAAAAAGTGATGTATCTAGAGAAATATGGAGTCCTCCCTCCTAAGATATTTTTATAGAAATCCTCCAGGATTAAAAATAAGACACATCTCAAGCCACAACGGAAACTATACCATCACAGTCTGTACTCTGGGATAATTTTTCGGATATTCCTGGAAATATTGCAGACAGGAAAAATTCTACACAACATTTTTATTTGGTTAAAACTGAAAAATAACCTTTTTACGGGGAAATGTTACAAGGTATTCCCATAGACACACTATGTTTAAAAAGACCTGTTAACAGGTAAATAACCATTCCTGTAGGCTCACATAGCCATTTCTGTTGTATACACATTTCCTTCCGGGCCCTCACTATAGATCACATACTTTTTACATAGATAAAATTCTGTGTGATCTGAACTTGTGTGTACAATTTAAAAAAAATATCTCTTTAAGGCATGGGCTACAAGGAATCCCTTCAAATTGTCTATCGGAACCTTTCCCAATCAATCCGAGTGCTCTAACTACAACTGGAATTACTGATGTTCTCACTGGCCATATTTTTTAGATTTCCATTTCAAAACCTTGTATTTCTTGAATCGTTTTGAATTTTCAAGGTCCTTTTGAAGATCTTCGAAGCAATATTACAATCTGCAGAGACTGTAATGTTAATAAGAAAACACATTCTGTTCTTGTGGAATTTGATCACGATGTCTGGACGATTAGCTTTGATTCTTCTGTCTGTGTGCATTTTAACGTCCCATAAAATTGTAAAAGGTCTTATGCCTGTAACCGGGTCTGGGTGGTGTTCATACCAATTTCTTGCAGTTTCTTTTCTCTAAAAGTGGCATATTTTCCAGATTAGATATTGACCTACTCTATCATGCTGAGTTTTATATTCAGTGGATAATAACGCCGTGAAGCCAGAAAATAAAATGGTCAATTGTTTTTGGTTATTTAATTGTTATTTATTTCTGGATATTTATTATTATTATTATTATTTCCTTTCTGGGTCCCAACCAGAAACCTAAGGTCAGAAAAAAAAAAAAAAAAAATCAACTTAAGATCACACATATTTTACGTTAACATTTAAGCTAGCTCCTGCGGAAGGTTCTTGATTGGGCCTTCATCACAATAGGTAGGGAGAAGTAGATGTGATAGGCAACAATAAACTACAGAAGAACTCAAAATTGATCGCTGCATTTAAGTATTGCATTTATATTTAAGCTTACCTTTTTATAAAATTCAACGATAATTCTTCTGTCGCCACTTAATTTAAAGACAGTTTGATGCACGTAGGTCCTTACTTTCCGTACAAACATTTATTTTTATTTCATGGATGACTTTCGCAATTAATTCCAATTATCCCAAAATTTATTTCCAAGTTATATACAAATATGTTTAGACGAACGCTTAGTATGAGTCAGCAATAGGTTAGCATAAATAAGCCACCACTCACCATCAAATCATCAAGTCTATCTAAATTGTGTCTGGAGTTTTATATATATATATATATCTGTGTGTGTGTGTGTGTGTATGTGTGTGTGTATGTGTGTGTATATGTAAGCAAATATATGGATATAGATCCGACAGTATGAAGAAAAATATACGGAAAAAACAAACAAAAATCCTAATATTCAATTATGCTGTTTTAATGTTAATATAATGTCAACGTCGGACGTTTCGGTCTAATAGACCATCTTCAGGACATATTCATAAAACATATTTAACATTATCTGTTTGGATTAGTTTACTTTATGTCCATCGTCTTTTCATGTTGAATTAAATATAGTCTAATGTTAATTATGTTTTATGAATATGTCCTGAAGATAGTCTACTAGACCGAAACGTCCGACGTTGACATTATATTAACATTAAAACAGCATAATTGCATATTAGGATTTTTGTTTGTTTTTTCCGTATATTTTTCTTCGTATATATATAAATATCAGTATTTCTTTAAGAATTAAATTATTGGACAGTCGATATTGAACACTTTCATCATACGAGGACTGATCCAAATTATCTTTATTCATAATAACAGCTTGTTCAGGATTTTGATAGTACCCTAAATCTTTATTTATTCTTGGCATTGGAAGCTCTTCTCGCTGCTGTTTGATCTGTGTTCTAATTTGCACCGGACTTTCTTTTCCTTGCTGCAGCTTTTGCTCTTTTGATTGCAATCTGGTCCTCTGTTGACGGAGATTTCTTTTTGCAAGGCATACTGCTGCTGTATGTGATAAGCAACAATTCCATGAGTTCTTTTGTAGTTTATTGTTGCCTATTGCATACGATAGCAGTATGCCTTGCAAAGACAAATCTCCACCAACAGAGGACCAGATTGCAATCAAAAGAGCAAAAGGTGCAGCAAGGAAAAGAAAGTCCCTTGCAAATTAGAACACAGATCAAACAGTAGCCAGAAGAACTTCAAATGCTGAGAATATGCAACGATTTAGGGATTTTCAAACTCCTGAACAAGCCGAAGGACCAATCAAGAAACCTCTGCAGGAGCTAGCTTAAATGTTAGTGTAAAATATATGTGATATTAAGTTGTTTTTTTTTTATTTACAAAAATGTTCAGTGGAAAATTTGTATATATTAGTTTAAATGAAAATTTTCTAATAATTGTAATTTGATGTTACACACACATATATGAAAATTTCTCCGATTTAATTTCAATTATCCCCAAATTTATTTTCGTATTTTGCTTTGATAAAGTCCACATTGGACGAAACGCGTCAGCAATTACCATATTTCCGATTATCATTTTTATTCATATACACACATATATATATAATAGAAATTATTAGGAGGATTTGATAATTATATTTAAGTAATTCATCGAATCTGAAAGAAACCTCAACAGAATGCAGAAAGTTTCGTCCTAAATTTGGGACTCATCAGCAGTGCGCATCCACAACTGCGAATTGAAACCCGGACAGTTAGGTTGTCAAGCAAACATCATACCAACTGTTCCACAGGGCCTCGGTGACGGAGAGATTGCAAATCAGACTCAATATAGCGCCGATCGTTCACATATTCCGTGGTGGAACTCTACTGCGTTCTTTGTAACCCTAGGACTGTGCCCCCTGGAGCCACGACTACTCTCACCAAGCCGCTCACTCTAGAGCATTAGAAGCCGGTTCAAGCAATGATGTACATGATAGAAATTATTAGGAGGATTTGGTAATTATATTTAAGTAATTCATCGAGTCTATGACTGGTGAGACAATGTGGATGTATGGAGAGGGGATATACATATATACACGCATGCTGACAAAACACAAGAAAATGGAAATAGATCTAAAAACACACAAGGGTCATTAAAAGTTAATAATGTCGATAACTTCTCCATCATTTCTCGGACCAATCTTAACTGTTTTATAACACTTCACGCAGAAATTTTCACTGCCAGTTCAAGAAAGACATTTGGGTAACTAACACACAAAAAAGAGAATGTCTCATATCGAGAATATTTGACACCGAAAAACATAAGAAAAAGAATTAATTATTTTTAATAATATGTGGAAATCTCCACCCTTTGCCTGATGACGGTCGCGAGACCGGAAACACGTGTAGCAAAATTATGGAAAATAAAGCATAATATTTTTAAATCCATCTTACAACCAAAAACATTTGCGGTGCGGTTTCTTCTTCTTTATATATATATATATATATATATATATATATATATATATATTCGACTCTCCTGTCGAATTCGACGTATGAGGGTCAAGCAGATCAGTTCCTAGGAAACCGACAGCCTGACAACAGCACATGAGATTTGATTATAGTGCTGAAGGTTTCGTGCACTTTTTGATGGGCCGAATACAGAGACCTGGTGCACTACGTGCCACAAGGTCCCCAAACGACCCTCCGCAGGTTTTGAATTCAGAGTTGTCCTTCTCCTAGACCAGTTGCCATTCAAGGCTATAGAACCCTGTCTGTCCTGCTATTTACCCATAGCTGGAGGGAGGATTCACACTTTTCCCAAAACCTTTCCCGATAAAAGTATTAGTACATAAGTGAATGTAACTGGATTCGACTGGAATTCGAACTCGGCTCTGCGATTCCTCAGTCAAAGCCGCTATCCATTACTCCACTATATTGCACTCAATATAGAGATAAATACAGGCACAACAATAGTAAACTTCCTTGACGTCACTCTTAACCTGATCAACAACACATATGAACCATACAAAAAAGAAAATGACACCCCCAACTTACGTACACACATCCTCCAACCATCCACCTTCTATCATCAAACAAATACCAAAATCAAACAGCCGCAGACTATCTGAGAACTCATCTAACATACACATTTTCAATAGCAAAAAAGCACCATACAACGAAGCACTAAAAGCAAGTGGTTACACACAACAACTACAATATATACCTCCACAGCCAAAACGTAGAAACAGAAAGAGAAACATTATCTGGTTTAATCTACCATATAACAAAACTGTTAAAACGAACATAGGCAAAATATTCCTAAACTTAATAGAAAAACACTTCACCGTAGAAAACAAATTATCAAAAATATTCAACAAAAATAACGTAAAGATCAGTTACAGCTGCACAAAAAACATAACAGAAATAATCAAAAGCCACAACAAAAAAATGACAACCTACAAAAATGTAACCAAGGATCCAATATGCAACTGCAGAAACAGATCAACATGTCCACTCCAGGGAAATTGCCAACTTACGAACACAATATACAAGGCCAAGGTAAGTACAAACAACAACACTATGCACTACATCGGTGCCACCGAAGGTCCATTCAAGATGAGGAATAACAATCACAATCTTTCATTCACCAACAGGAAATATTCGAACAGCACAACACTTTCTACATACATATGGCAGCAAAAAGACAAAAACATCACACCAACAATAAGTTGGGAAATATTGAAAAAAGCCCCTGCCTACAACAACATTATGAAAAAATGCCGACTTTGCCTACACGAAAAAGTAGCAATAATATCACACAAACCGCAAAAGAACTTACTAAACAAAAAATCAGAGATAATCTCCAAATGTAGGCATGAGAACAAGTACCTATTATCCGAATTCATACCAAACGGATAAAACAGACAAACCATCAACAATCACAATTTAATTTCAAGATACCATCAAAATAATTGCATCTATCATTATTATAATTACACCACCATTAGTAATCACTTTTACTACAATACCTTTTAACTAACAATATTATCATTACCACCAACACACAGCACCATCACTTACACATCACACACACTATTAACATATAATCCACTACAATCTTTACTACTCCCCCAGCATATTTAATACCTTAAAACAATATGATCAGATATAATTTCCATATGTAACCATGAGAATAAACACCTATTACCAGGCAGCTTTAATATAATAACAATAATAATTTTGTAATTAAAATATTAAAAATTATAGCAATCTCCAACTACCATAATTTTACACAGAATACCTATTATCAGGATTTATACCAAAATAAACTAATACATATAACAAAATAAAACAAAAATAAAATAAAACACCAACAACCACTTTTAGTTCAAGCTACTACCACTATAACTACATTCATGGTTTTATCATTCTCCCACCACCGTTACTAATCATTTCTACCAATTTACAATTTCTACCAATTTACAATAACTATTAGCTAACTATCATTGTCTCCAATCCCTTGAAACATTACTATCACATCATATCATATAGACCTGTTATTAAATTAAATTACCCTCTCACCCAGCATATTAAATATTAAACTAAACATCACCATATAAATTATCCAATAAGGATTACAAATTTCTACCTGCTACATATACACAGTCACCAAAAACAAACAAATAACCGGATTTAAATATAACATATAAACCCCCATTTTTTTTTCAAAAATTTAAAAATAAATATAAATAATAATAATTTTTACCTATCATAATTTTACACAAACCCCACCACACGCATATACATACATGCGAGGAAATATTTTTCAGCGCGAAAACACTTAATATGACATGTATACAGTAACGAGACATTTCCGCCACACTTCGAATGTTTAAATTTCAACATTTCAACATACAAATGCGTATGTATAGATATAACACCACCCGTATACATACATGTGTCATAGCCGAAACTGCCCACATATGTTTATATATGTATGAATCCCGACGGACGACCAAGTGTGTATATGTGTCTGCATATATCGATGTTTGCGTTAGTACGATGAATGACAAAATGACGAAATTTCCCCCACCACTTCCACAATAACACCAATACACGCAATCTACATAAACCCAAATTTTTTAAAACATTAATCAGTTTGTCTGACGATCGCTAAAGCGTGAAACCCAGGGTCACAGACTCACATCTATCCAACCAAATATATATATATATATATATATATATATACGCACAGATAACAGTTGGGTATGACTGCTATCTCTCTCTATATATAACTTTAAATTACAATTGTTAGACGATTTTCATTTAAATTAATATGTCTTTTTTATCTATATTTCTAAATTTTTTCTATTGATCGCTTGCAGTTTTTCAGGGAATTATTGTTTTTTTTGTTTTTTGACGATGTAAACAGCTAAGTCGTCAACGAAAATTAGTTCCGCCGTTACAATGGCCACAGCCAGAAAAGAAAAGACGGAAAATATTCCAGTAGCAAGCACCCTTGAATTACTGAAAAGAAACTCTTCAACGGCCGACACAAGTACATTAAAAACAGATAAAGAAACGCTAAAGTATACATCTCAAGCCACAACGGAAGTTACACCACCGAAATCTGTACTCGGAGATAAATTTTCGGTTCTTCCTGGAAATATTGCAAGTAGGAAAACTTTTTCGCGAAATTTTATTTGATTATAATCGAAAAATAACCTTTCTAAGAGGAAATGCTATTTTTTTAAAGATATTCTCATAGACATCGACTAAAATTAAAAATAAAACCAGTCAATATGTAAAGAGACCTTCATGTAGGCTCAACACCCATCTAGTACACTCGAACAGACTGGGATCCATAGCTATGGACCGTAGGAATAGTGGTGTATCTAGAGAAATATGGAGCCCATCCCTCCGAAGATATTTTCATAGATGTCCTCCAGGATTAAAAACAAGATCTTTTCAATGGATAAAGAGACCTTCATCTAGCCCACTCGAATAGAGTAGGATCCATAGCTATGGGCCGTGGTGTGTTTCGGGAAAGAAAACTTGATGGCCGCCATTATCCTCGGGCTGGTTTTGAATTCAGAATTTTCCTTCTCTTAGATTGGTTGCCAACCAAGTTAAGATATCCAGGTCTACCCTGTTTTTTTTTTTAACTTATAGGTAGAAAAAGAGGAATTGACGATTGAAAAAAATGTTTTTGTTTGAATTTGGGTTTGACCAATTCGTAAAAAAAAAAAAAAATTAATTAAGACATGCGTGTCCGTCAACCTTAAACAATAATCTTTGTCAATTTTATTTTTCAGTCTTTATGATGGTCTATACTTGATCTATCTCTTACTGTTACATCCCCGGGCAACGCCGGGCTCTACTGCTATATATATATATATATATATATATATATATATATATATATATATATATATATATTACAAATACTATATACCTTGTCTCATACAGTGTCCGGATATAAACTGTAATATTTAGTCTTTATGCTTTAATGTCCGCCTTAAAGTCTGAAGTTAGATTATAAAAAATAACAATACAAAACTGGAATTAATTTTAAAAATAAAAATAAAAATCCGGTGCTAATTAAAAAAAAATATAATAAAATTTGGTATTAATTATTAAAATTAAAATAAACATCCTGCATTAATTAAAATAAAATAAAATAAAATCAGACATTAATTTTAATTATACAACTTAGGCCCAATAAGTAATATTATAAAAATTAAAATAAATTACAAGACTTGCTAGATGGAACCGTAAGTTCTATGCTAACAGTTTCTTCTCTCACACTTCTCACTTGTGGAATGCAATGTAATCGCTATCTAATATCCTCCTGATTACTCTCTTCTCTTCCCTCTCATCATTAAATATTTCTGGTCTTAATTCTTCCACACTCTCTAACCCCCTGTGTCTTAGTGGCTTTAGTGCCTTGCATGGGGTGATACCGATAAATATATATTTGGGCGGCAGCCTTTCTTTTAGACAGCTTTCATTAAATACGGCAGACAAGGAAGATTTAATTTTATGCTAACAGTTTCTTTTCTCGCACTTCTCACTTGTGGAACTCACTTCCGGTTCCATTTTGATCTGTAAAAATTAAAATGCAATGTCAATCGCTATCTACTGTCCTCATGACTACACTTTCTCTTCCTGCTCTTCATTAAGGTTTCTGTTCCTAATTTTTTCACACCCTGTAACCCCTTGTGTCTTAGTGACTTTACTGCCTTGCATGGGGTGTTATAGTGGAACACACCTATTCTATAGTTAATAGACTCTCCCACCTATAATAAGTAGGAGTAGTAAGAGTAACGAGTCAGTCGCGGAGTTGGTCAGTCAGTCAATGCCGGATGACCGTTAGTCGGATACTAAAGTATCAGCCACCACAACTAGATTACTCTGCGTTATACCTATTATATCAAGTTTCTAACGTTTTGTACGTCGAACCTATTTTAGGACCGACTTAGTATAAATACAAGCCTCCACTGTGAAACTACTCCATAACATGGGTTGATACCGATAAATATATGTTTGCACAGCAACCTTTCTTTTAGACAGATTTTCATTAAATAAAAAAGAAAGATTTAATTCTATGCTAACAATTTATTTTCTCGCACTTCTTGTTTGTGGAAATCACTTCCGGTTCAATGCTGTCCAGACAATTTTGCTCTGCAAAAATTGAAATGCAATGTCAATCGCTATCTACTGTCTTCCTGATTACTCTTTTCTCTTCCCGCTCATCTTTAATGTTTCCTAATTCTCCCACACCCTGTAACCCCTTAATAACTTATCTTACTCTTTTGTTGCAGTCGGAAACGTAACCGAAATTCCACAAAAGGATTACGCGAGTAAGTATTTCCTCTTTCGTTTCCCTGGGTTTCTCAGACTATAACTTATAAGGCACTGACACTTTTGGACCTAAAAAAAATGATACACCCAATGCAACTATGGTACGGGCCACCGTTTATATTACATCTTAATTTTCATAAGGTAGTATTCATATAAAAAAATCGTCCTAATGTTACATACTGTGTCGACTTTTTCTTTTTATTTTATAAGCGTTTCCCCCCAAGCAAGGCGGGAAGCCACTAGCACGCAAGGGGTTACAGATGATTTGGAGCGAGAGCAAATAGGAGTGATAGAGAAAAGGATGAAGAGAAGGATAGGGGGGTAGATCAGGGCATCTGGAGACGTCGATTGACATTACATTTGAATAGTTGGAGATTATAGCTATCAGGGAAATAGGAAGAAAGGAGAGAGTTTGACATGCGATACATGAAGATATTGGAGTAGAAGAGACGGTTACATTTAACAGTTTCGACAGTGAAAGGGTGTGAGCGAGATGCCAGCCTAAAAATTCATGAAGTTTGGGAACCAGAGAAATCAGCTCCTCGGTGCAGTTACCATCAAAGTATTTGTAAAAAAGACAGAGGGATCTGACGGCGACGAAAATGCCAGATCAAGGCCAGTTACGTTGCATATCCGTCTCTGGGTCTTATCAAGAACCTTGAGACAAACATAAGAGGCACCAGACCATATATGGCAGCAATACTCCATGCAAGGGCGAATGGTTGATTTGTAGATTTGAAGGATCGACTCCAGCGAGAAACATTTCCTGCGCGGCACAGGGAGCCAAATTTACTTGCGGTGGACGAAACTGTTGACTCAATGTATTTGCTCCATCTCAGGTCAGCAGTCAATATGAGGCCGTGTAATCCCCATAATACTAATAAAAACGGTATCAACGAAAAGGGTCATTTACTTTTGCTAATCTGGTAGATTGGGTTGTAAAAGGTAGCGGGGGTAATGCCATGACAGAAAAAGTATCGCACGTTAACTCAGCGTCCCTCCGCAGGTGGTATAAGCCGGTCACAAACCTGGGTGTGGGAGGCATATTGACGCGTCAGAATTCTCGAGTCCCTCTTGAATTCGCGCGTTTTTGAACTTATATTCAAAACCCAGAGAGTAGCAATATCATCATCAGGACTACGAAGCACTCCGGCTAATTGCTGACCATCCTAGCTCTCGTCTCACATTCTGTAGCGTTGGGTATGATGATAAACTACATCCGGCAACAAGGACTCTGATCGGATGGTATTGCGGAGCGTGAAACCACAACTTAACTGCTGCTGTTTCCATGTTCAACCCTAACCCTAGGTGGTAGCACATATTAGGGTCCCAGATATGGACAAATATTGACCCTACTAACAAAATTAACAGTATATTTTTATAATAAGATGGGTAACTATACATTTTTATAGCAAAATGGCAATCAGTGCAACACTAAAAAATATAAATATATTTTATAATAAAATTACCAACAATGCATTTTATGATCTACAATATATATATAGTGCACCAGGTCTCTGTATTCGGCCCTTCAAAAAGTGTGAATGGTCCTGCACGAAACATTCACCGCTATATTCAAATGTCATGTGGTGTTGTTGGGCTGTCAGTTTCCTAGAAACTGATCTGCTTGACTCTCATACGAATTCGACGGGAGAGTCGAGTATATATATATATATATATATATATATATATATATATATATATATATATATATATATGTATATACATTTATTCTGAATGTATAAAATTATTTACAAAGTTACTGTAATTGAATGCATAAAATTACGTACAACATATTTAGATTCCGGCATTAAATAACCCATAGAGATGTTGATATGTCACTAAACAAAGACATCCAACCAAACCATTCAAAATATTTAGACTTTGGCATCAAATAGCCCACAGAGGTGTTGATGTGCCGCTAAACAAAGACAACCAACCAAACTAATCAAAATATTTAGATTTCGACATTAAATAACCCATAGAGGTGTTGATATGCCGCTAAACAAAGACAACCAACCAAACCAATCAAAATATTTAGATTTCGGCATTAAATAACCCATAGAGGTGTTGATATGCCGCTAAACAAAGACATCCAACCAAACCAATCAAAATATTGGATAAAAAATATTGAAATTTATCTTGAGTTTTTCGGGACTTAGCATGAGCAAAACAACTTCAGGTTTTAGACGAAAATACCCCCCCGGATGACGTCAGAATCCGCGGAAATTTTTCATCTTTTAATAATCAGTTGTGCTTAGTTTAATTTGTATCGTATATAAATGTAGGTACAAAAAAGCAAATGTTCATAAGATAGTGATAGTCAAAAAGTACTTTTATTTGATTTTTTAGGGCGTCTACGGGGAATTTTTGCCTGAGCCTACGGTTTCCCCACGTTAAATTCGGCCTTGTGCCATATCTGACCGCGTGGGGCGGTTGGCAAATAACTTTCAGTTGGAGATTGTCTCAAGCCGTGTTGGTCAATCTCTCTGCCTCCGGGCAGAGAAGATTCCCAGACGAGACTATGTTGAAGGGGAGAGTCTCGTCTCGGGCAACAATTACCGGACCCCGTTGTATACAGGGTCTACGGGAAAATTTTGGCCGAGCCTACGGGCTTGGATACTCTACATTAAATTCGGCTTTGTGCCACATCTGACCACACGGGGCGGTTTGTTGTTATCCTGCAGTTGGAGATTCGTCTCCGACTGTGCTGGTCAAAACTCTCTGCCTCTGGTCTGAGGGGTTCCCCAAACGAGTCTATGTCGAAGGGCAGAGTTTTATCTCGGGAAACAACTACCGGACCCCGTTGTATACGGGGTCTACCGGGAATTTTTGGCCGCGCCTACGGGCTCGGATACTCTACATTAAATTCGGCCTTGTGCCACATCTGATTACGTTGGTAGATATCCTGCAGTCGGAGATTCATTATGGAATTCACTTCTAGCAGTTTTTTACTTCTACGCGCCGCTGGCAAATCTTATATGTGTTGTTCTTGTACTAAGTATTATCTTTCATTACCAACCTTCGTTTAATTGTTCTAATCAATACAATTCTAATTAATGCAATGTAATATTTATCATTTGAAATGAAATTAAAGAAACGTGAAAACAATTTCTTATTCATAAAATTTTTAAACATTAACTAAATTGTTAAAATATGTTAACCAATTTTAAGGATATTCTTATCATTTGCCCATTTATAAAGTTCATTGTTTCGAAGTAAATGTTTGAATTTATCCAAGAAACAAAATAATGCGTTATTTATTTTCGTTCCAGGTACGGTTGTTTTTGGTTTTGATCTTACAACAATGGGCCCCTCGCGTGCAAAGATAATTATCCAATTTATCAGTCACTTGCTTCCACATATTGGATACGACAAATTCGCTCTTGTATCAAACGCTCTTTGTACTCCCAATTTTAATATTCCATTGCAACCGGCTATAAATGAGGACCTTTCCAAATTACTTCCCAGGTTAAACGAAGAGAAACGACATGTCCTTGTAGACATCATACGGCAGATGAACAAAGAGCTGTTCAAAGAGGCGAATTTTAAAAACGACAAAAATCCTAAGCGACAGATCGGGGTTCTATTCGTCGATCCTTCCGTGAGTACGATTACGTCAGAGGTGTTGCTGGAGGCTGGTGAGATGAAGAAGAAAGGATTCGAACTGTTTGTTATCGCCATCGGAAACGCCATCTGGACTGATCCGGAAATGTTCGCCGAACTGAGCAGTCAGCCACATCACGAATTTATTATCTCAGTTCCGACATACAATAACCTGCTGCCAATGGTCAAACATTTGCCGTTACATATCCGGGAGGCGAACAAGAAACAAATGAAATAAAAGTGTCGATCTGAATCAAAGACTAAAACAAAACTGGAGGGGAAATTTTAAAACTGTAAAAAAATATGACGACAAATATATTGACAATTATTTCAACGACAAATAAAATAAAAATATATATATATTACACTGATGGCTTAAGATGTGAAACAGACAGTCACCATGCAGTGGTGAATTCTATATCCACACTGTTTATATCAACAAACGTTTAATCCTTGACACACTTTGCTCAAAAATATAACAGTTTGGGTGTGTATATATATATATATATATATTCTTGATATATTTGTGTACGTTGGCTTGGGAGAGTAGTAGTTCAGTTAAGAATGGTGATATTGTGAAATGCCTGGGCGTAGATTAATATTTGGATAATATTCAATGGCGGCACTCTCGAGGATTGTAACATTTTTAAAATCAAAATTATGGTTGAATTTATTTCTATGTATGACTAGTGCATTAGCTAAGTTGTTTTTTGTGAGGTCGCTTTTGTGCTCATAGTTTCTGCTTGTTTCTCCAGTATATTGGGAGGAACAGTTCGGGCAATTTATTTTATAAATGCCTGATTCAGAAATGTTATTGCTGTTAGTGTTTGAGGATGTGAGTATATCCATAAAACAAAAAAAAATCAACTTCAATGATTCCCTTAGAGTGCACTTATGTATTTTTAATGCATTTAACAATTTATAGTTATAGCATAACATAAAAACTTGTAAATAAACAAAAACAAGTCCTGGAAGGTTTCAGAAAGCTCTGGAAGGAACATATGAAGTTCTAGAAGTTTCCAGAATGTTTTAAAATACACCAGAAATCATAGTACTATGTACGATTTTAGAAATTTCGTGTTGGGGATGACATTTAAAAAAAATAAACTGAATTAAATCCTTCTTCATTACTTTCTAAAAAAAGTTAAAAGAATTACAATAAAGGAAATCAATTATTTGCAAAAAGTCAAAAAGCCAAATCCCTATATATATATATATATATATATATATATATATATATATATATATATATATACATTGATGCCTGTTCGATTAAATAATATAGACAAGTGTTGTCTATTTATTTTATGCAAATTCTTTTCATATTGTCTGATAAGCTTCATAACATCATTAAACGAAGAAAGAAAATCACAATATTGATATATATTTTTTAATCCTATCTAATCTTTCGGCTTACATAAGCCATTATCAAAGATGACACTTAAATTACAATATATTAAGCAATACACGGACAAAACAGTGATGATAGTCTGTTTCTGTTTACATGGAAAATTTCCAAGCAACGACAAACTCGTGCATACAAGACGCTGGAAGCGAAAATCGCATTGCAGCTCATGACGTTACACATAAACCACACGAGAGTGAAAACGAGAAGTATTAAGTATGGGAAGCCATTGGCATAAACCAATGGCTTCTGTTATCAATTATAGTCATTTAAGAATATTTGTGGAGATTTCATAATTTATTTTGTTCAGGTTAGGTTTCAACTGTTTTATGTATATAGCTTCAAAAATTTTTACCTTTTGTTTATTGTTTTCATGTTTAAGTATAGTTGTGTTTTCAACAAGGATTTTGCGGAATTGCGTACGCGGCCAGGCATGTGATCTTAAATGCCTAAAAATGTTTGAGTTATCATTCAAATGTAGTGTCAAGCGTCGTGAAAGCGAGTTTGTTGTGTGACCAACATAAATATTATTTAATTCGTTGGAGATACAATCTCCCAAAGGGCACTTGAATTTGTAAACTATGTTGGTTTTTTGCAAATCACTAACCAGGGGAGAAGAATCATTGCGAATAATTGAGTTGAATATACTAGATTTAGTGTAGTACATGATTAACTTAATTTTTTTGCGAGGATCCGTTGTAGATATATTAGTATTTATTCATTTTTTTAGTATATGTTCATCTTGTTTATAATTAGTATGCATTTGATTACGATATAGGAGATTAATATGTTTGAGATTAGTAGAAGCAGTATTATATATATACTTAAATAACGAGGACGTCATTTTAACATTACGAAACTTTTCGGGTCAACATTTTATCAGAAGGCGAACGTTGACGTATAGAACAAAATAATCACTGACACACTTGTAAATAGCGAATGAGGAGGGAATATTGGAAGACGATTTAATTCTTGGCTTTTTTTTTCTATTTTATACCCTTTTTTGAAACCATTTATTTTGTTTTTCGTCGTCAGTTTGTTTACTATTAAAATTTACTTTTGATTTTCGCTGGATTTCGCATTTAATTTTCAATAATTCCTAAATTTATTTCCAACTTATAAAAATTTTTGTTGTACCAAAAAATTCGTCGCAAAATCTCAAAACGTAAAAAAGTGGCCGAAAACAATCATAATAATGAAAACATAGAAAACAAAAATTTCTATAACATGAGCTATTGAAAGTTAGAGATTTGTGTCCCTTTAATTGTTTTTATCAATAGGAGCGAAGATGGCGGAATCAGAAAAAATCACAGTAATGAAAACTTGGGAATCCAAAATTTCAGGATTGCTGGTCCAGATCCGGTCCGGAATATTTTTAATTTGCTCAAGGACTCGGTCTGATTCGAAAATGGTATAATATGTTGGGCTACGGCCTTTAGGAGTAAAGTTGAAACGCGTGACACACTGACATTCGCATTTATATATATATATATATATATATATATATATATATATAAGAAAAGTATAAAATAAAAAATAAAAACAAAGCTACTTAAGTTTCACCCACAAATTGAAGGATCTTCAGGCTGAGTTCAGATATGGGTCAGTTCGTGGTATTGGCATTAAATCGGGAAACAAATGGAAAGTTGTTTTGAGCGTTTGAATATTACTAGACTTCAAAAACTGTTCTTGCATAAAATACGCTATTGCATGACATTTACATATTCGAAATATTTCATATATATATATATATATTAATGGGATTTATATATATATATATATATATATATATATATATATATATATATATATATATATTAATGGATTTATCTTATTATTTAAAATCATGGTTGATGTAAGTAATTGTTACTGTTTTCTTTTACTGATTAAAATAAATGCAGTAATTACAATTGTTTTAATTTTGTATTTTTTAAATTTTCTTTTTTCTTCTTTATATATATATATATATTCTAATAGAAATCAATGTAAACTGGATTAATCCGTTCCTGGTCTCAAGATGATTGCTTATTTAAACTTTTACAACAGTATTTTGTGCACAAGTTTATACACAAAACTAATGAAAATTATTAAATCTAAGAAAAAAATAAATAAACCCAAGATACGAACTTTTTAATTTTACCGTACCGTAGGAGAGTTGATGGCGTAAGTGGGAGGGGAAGGAAAGAGATGGTATTGTTTGGAAAAGGGAAAGAAAGACATGATTGTCTCCTTATTTATAAGAATAGTATAGATCGTTGATTTTGCCATATGAAATTGAGTAAGAAGAGACAATATCATCAATTGTTTTTCTCTTTTCTTTTTCCTTTACCAATGTCACTGCTGGTTTTCTTTGGAGCCATGACTAAGGACTAATAAAGAGAAAAAAGGCACAATTTATTAAAATTGGAAAAGAAAAGCACATCACACGAATGTATACAACATGGCGGTCGACTCAAAAATGATTCCGTTCGGGTTAACTCGGCTCGGCTCGGGTCGGCAATGTTCGAGAAACGAAATTTTGTTCGATAACTGAGGCAATTTACATCTCGAAATTTCTGCTCGAAAACCGCTTTGTTCGACATTTGAGAATCTTGAGAACCGAGGTTGCTCTGTGTTAAAAATGGAAGAGTGGACCGTTCTGCCAAGTCAAACGAGCCAAACGAGCACAGGGTTTTACCAACCATCTTTACAACTACAACTGGAAAGATTTTATATAAGCTTAGCATAAAACTTGTTACTGTTTCTACACCCTTGTGTGAATGAATTGAAACAATCGCTTTAGTTTCCTTTCTTTCACCATACGGTTAATTATAGACCCACTGGAATGTCGATTTCTAGTTTTTCCTCAGATAGTCATTTGCAGTAATATGAATCTATTTTGGGGGTGTATAATGAAATTTGTTTGGCATTGAAAAATATTGCGTCATCCATGATTTCATCAGATTTTCATTACGTCCAGACACTATTGTCTCAACTGTCGATTAGTTTTCCTACAGCCATTTTCTGCGATGGACGTTACTCCAAGAAAGCGTACGAAAATTGTAACGTTACGCGAAGACACTGACAAGCTTTACAGAGATCGCGGACTATACGACGAAAGTGAAGGTCGTGATAGTCATTACAGACGTGAGTCACATGACCAGTCAATGTGGACTACTCTAAATTAGACGATTCCATGCCAAATCGCATGAAAGAGCTTCTTAAAAATAAAGACGTGAATACGAAGTACTGACATGTTCACTGGGTCATATTCCATTGGGAAAACACGAAAAATTACGAGAATTATTCATTTTGTTTCAATTAATTTGCACAAGGGTGTATATTATTAAAATACTTAATTAATACAAAACAAAATAATAAGCTAAAACATGAATGAGAAATTTATTCTATTACATGTATTAACTGCCACAAGATATACATAGGAGAAACCTCAAGGAATTTAAATAAAGGTTTATATGAACACAAAAGGGATTGGAGAGCCGAGTTCGAATTGTGTTCGTTATATCCACTTACGCGCAAATACCATTGGGAAATATATAACTTTACTTCTTCTCCCCACAGCCATGGGCTAATTAGTAAGTATACTTACCAGTTGACGCACTGTAGACAAGATGCCACACAAGGTCGAGTTTAATGCGGGGAACCCGAGCGCGTGCACTCGGGCCAAGGACAATTCCTTCTCTCTAGTACCATGAGAGGGTGCAGCTTCGGACAGCTGTTCACGAGGGTCGGGCACCTCGCAGTTTTATTTTCCCCAGTTGCACCTCCGACGGAACCTCGAGTCTCACTCTGCCCGAAGTGAGAGACGGAGAGATAATAAAACATAAACGGCC